TAATAATAATAATAATAACAACAACAACAACAACAACAACAACAACCCCAAGACTGGATTTCTCTTCAGGGCTGATGAAAAACCTGCTGCCTCTCCTCAGAGCAGTGGGAAAATTACTTTTTTGGAGTTATAATTCCCGTGACTTGGAACGAATTTGAAACCATGGGCCTCTGCTACACCCCAAGGCAGCCGGCGTTCAAGAGCTTAGAGGATGCCGAGCTTTGCGGCTCTGCCCTCTGAGGCCGTCCTGCTGCCTCCTAAAATCTGCCGCCTGAGGTCTGACCCCCCTCGCTTCCCCAAACCATCAGGACGGCCCCATGGAGAAATTTTTTCCCCAGCCTGCAGAGTCGCTCACCAGATAGTAACTGTCGTCAGCCGCCAGGGCTTTGGAGAGCCCGAAATCACTGATCTTGGCGTAGTGCTGGTTCACAAGAAGGACATTCCGGGCGGCCAGATCTCGGTGGACGAAATTCTTCTCCTCCAGATATTTCATCCCGATCGCCACTTGATGCATCAGTTCTACCACGTTGTTCACCGGAACCTCGTCTCTAGCGGAGAGAGTCAACTTACAACAGTCAAGAAAGCGGCCATTTTTCTCGGCTGTGGCATTCATTTGGAGAGTCTCGAGAGAAGACCTGTTTTCCATTCACCTGCATCAATATCCACCACTCAGCCCTTTAAAAAACCACATCATTCAACCAAATTCTGGATCTCCTGCAGTCCAAAGAGTTTGGGAATGTACGTCTCAAAAAGTAATCAGTTACATTTCTGATGACTCCCCCCCACCAAAAAAATCTGTGAGTCAGTTACCATGGTAAGGATAGTAATAATCATAGAACTAAAGAATAACCATCCCAACGTTTTTAGAAGTGATATATCATTTCCTCAGTTCTTCAAAGTAACTAACTGATCTAGTTCCTTTTAGTTCCTTTTCAAAACCAGCCACAAGCCTGGGTGATCTAAAACCTGATTCTCCTTCTTTTCATTTCCTTATGAACAGAAACGCAGCCTGGAAATGTGGCGTCCTCAGCGCCTGCTGACTAAAAGGTCGACTCACCTCTTGGTATACAGGAATTTGTTGAGGGGCCCGGCAGACGCCATCTCCATGACCAGCATGAGGGCCTCAGCGTCGCAGACCCCAATCACACGGACAATGTACGGGTTGTCCAACTGGTGCATGAGCTGGGCTTCCTTCATCATGTCGTCCCTTTCGGCCTTCCCGTTGCCCCCTTTCAGCATCTTAACGGCCACGTCGATCTGCTTCCTACAACCAATGACCAGAGAAAGCTCAACAGCAATCGACTGTCCTTATTGATCAATTTTTTTGGGAACGCCAGATGGAAGGTTGAGTTGCCCTTCCCTTTGGCTGCAGTGGCGGTTCTAAATCCACTCCGCGTTTTGTTCCGAACTTGAAAGGCATTTCCTGAAGCACTCAACCTATTTTGGAGGATAAGATTCATGGCCCTGGAGAGCTCAGACTGAAACGGATCTATCCAAAGTGCCAAACGCATTGGTAGGGGGATCGGCTCTATAAAGTACAGAGTAAATCACGGAGCGGATTCACTGGCCTGATTTCTTGTTACCTTCTTGTTCTTATTATTTAATTGGCCAAGATGTGAAATTTTGTGTGACGAGAGTGTTAAAATTCACCAGAGCTGCCTTATCCACAGGATCGGTATCCACTAATTCACCTATCCACAGTCTGAGGATATTAAAAGATTAGATTAGCCATCCTTCAGTCTTGAGAGACTACGGTAACATGTTCTGAATAGAAGACTTGGAACAGCGTCTTGTGTGGCTGAGAAGGCCAATTCGAGAGTGACTATCCCTTCCACACTGAAGACAAATACAATCTATCCCCTGTCCAACTCCCTGATTTTGCTGGTTTCCGGACTGCCTCTTTGCCTCAGCCTGCTGAACAAGGGTCTCTTTAAATTGGGAGAGGCCGTGATGCAACGCCTGCCTCCAGGCTGAATGCTCAGAGGTCAAGGTTTCCCATCGGTTGAGATCCCTTCCTAAGGTCTTCAGATCTGGCTTTTAAAAGAACCCCCCTCAAAATATATATTTCTAAAATGAACTAGCCACTAGAGGGAGCCAGAGATCATGCTATGCATAGTGTTAACTGAGATTTCTACCCTGTCATTACCAGAACTGGCCACTAGAGGGAGCCAGAGACTATGCTGTAAATCAGTGGTTCTTAACCTTTTTGAAAGAAACGCCCCCTTGAGCCATTGAGGAAGTTATTATCGCCCCCCTCCCGCGGTGATGAAATGAAGTTACCAGAACTAGCCACCAGAGGGAGCCAGAGATCATGCTATGCATAGTGTTAACTGAGATTTCTACCCTGTCATTACCAGAACTGGCCACTAGAGGGAGCCAGAGACTATGCATTTCTTGTTACCTTCTTGTTCTTATTATTTAATTGGCCAAGATGTGAAATTTTGTGTGATGAGAGTGTTAAAATACACCAGAGCTGCCTTATCCACAGGATTGGTATCCACTAATTCACCTATCCACAGTATGAGGATATTAAAAGATTAGATTAGACATCCTTCAGTCTTGAGCGAGAGTGTTAAAATTCACCAGAGCTGCCTTATCCACAGGATCGGTATCCACTAATTCACCTATCCACAGTCTGAGGATATTAAAAGATTAGATTAGCCATCCTTCAGTCTTGAGAGACTACGGTAACATGCTCTGAATAGAGGACTTGGAACAGCGTCTAGTGTGGCTGAGAAGGCCAATTCGAGAGTGACCATCCCTTCCACACTGAAGACAAATCCAATCTGTCCCCTGTCCAACTCCCTGATTTTGCTGGTTTCCGGACTGCCTCTTTGCCTCAGCCTGCTGAACAAGGGTCTCTTTAAATTGGGAGAGGCCGTGATGCAATCCCTGCCTCCAGGCTGAATGCTCAGAGGTCAAGGTTTCCCATCGGTTGAGATCCCTTCCTAAGGTCTTCAGATCTGGCTTTTAAAAGAAACCCCCTCAAAATATATATTTCTGAAATGAAGTTACCAGAACTAGCCACCAGAGGGAGCCAGAGACTATGCCGTAAATAGTGTTGACTATTATAATAGTGTTCACTATCATCCACATTTTTTAGTATCCACAGGGAGTTACTGAAACTGATTCCCCAATGATCTGGGGGTCTTACTTATGGGGTATAGAAAAAGTAGCCATGACCGAGAGAAGATTTCAACTCAGATTTCCCAGACTTTAATCTAACCCTCTAACTATTAAAGCACAGCTGCTTTCTGTGACATTCATCAAGGGGTTGATACAGAGGCAACTGAACCCTTCACAAGATGTCTGGGGTGGGTGGTCACTTACTTCCTCATCCTGTAAACCCCTTTCCGGACGCTTCCGAAGTTGCCTGCCCCAAGCTCCACTTCGTCAATAATGAGATGGTCCCTCTTCAGGAAGAGCTTCCGGTCTTTCAGCTCCTCCGGATCACTGTATGGGCTCTCGTAGCAAGACGTGTCCATGGGCAGGATCCGGGTCTTCTTCCCTATGCCTGCCCCATTCCCAAGAGATAGGGAGAAGATTGAGTATTTGGTCGGATTGTTCCCACTTTCACCAATTCCACCATCACCCCCCCCCCATAAGGAACAGATTTTAGAGAGCCTGAAATGGCATGGAGAACTCTGACTAGAGTAGACTCATCGCATCAGTGGGGTTTACACAAAGCTGGGCTTCCCATTCCGCCATGAATTTGATAGGTCCACGGTAGTTGGGGCAACCCAACTGGACCTTAAGCAGAAGGAGCAGATTCTCAACACGGAAGAGGTGGTTGGTTGGGTTTCAATCCAGTTGGTTGGGTTTCAATCCAGAAGGCCAAGTTTCCCATAAAAACAGCCCAATGGCCTTGTGATCAAGAGGCTGTTCTTTGGTCGCATCACGAGAGGTCAAATGAAAAAGGCACGAATGCAAGGGAGAAGTGGAAGGCCACCAAGAGACGAGCAAAGACCGAACGTGAGATGGTTTCCACCAACATTTGGTCTTCACCAACAGCTGACTCACCGATGGGCTCTGGTGTGTATCCGTCGGAGTTTTGAGACATGAATTTCTGAGGGGCCTGGTGGGGAAGAGAGAAAAGAGGTGGCTGGGGTGGGAGATACAGCTACTTTTCCCCAACCACACCCCTGCCAGGTAGAGCCAAAGAGAAAAGACGGGACTAAGGGTTTGATGACATTGACGCATGCCATCCAGTTTCTCCGGAAGGAATATGCTGGTGACGATGGTCAAGATGGTGGAGCCACCTGTGACTCCATTTTACCCCTTGTGTCAGCATTGATGCCAAATCCTCGAACCCAGCCAGCAGAGATTTAGAAAATAGGAGTGCAGAAGTAAAAAGGGGAGGTGGTGGACTTACCGACACAGAAGGATGGGCGGGTAATGCCGGCGCCATGGCCGCTACAGATTGAGAGGGAGAAAGTAAAGGGTTGATTTTTTTCCCCACAATAGGTCTATTCCTTTAAAGAAGGGTCGGAGTTGAAGAAGGTAAGGAACACACACACATTTTTCTCACCCCCGGTAGAAAAGGGGTGTCTCAACACCCAAAGATGACAACAAAGACAGCCACCGGGAAATTTCTAGCACCCTTCTACAAGCTCCAAAATATTTCACCCGCAAATTTTTGTCCTAAATGCTTCACATTTTGCCCGGAATTCAGTTTTCTGCCGTGTGCACACACACAAAAAACTTTCCTTCCCAAAGGCGGGAAACACAAAATGATTCTTGCGATCTTGCCCATCTGAGGAGGACGCTTTTCAAAACAGTTTGAAACCAACAATAATTTTAAAAAAACCCCACAAAGACGAATATCCTCATTTGTCCAGAGATTCGCCCAGCGTCAAGGGGGAAAATTATGGAGGGGGTTGCTGATTTTTCCAAAGATTTTGGAATAGCTAAGGATCAAAGAGGGTGCTCACCTGAAGGGACATCCGGATTGGGGGTGCTCTCTTTCAGATAGTAGATCAGCCCATCCGGTTTGAGTTTGAGATATTCGACCAGCTTGTGGGACAAACGAGGAGAGAGAAAAACAAGTTTAAGAAAAAGGGGACAGGAAAGCAAAAGAGAGTCAACCCTAAAGGAAGCATTGATTAAAACCAGCGGTTGGTTTCACTTGCTGACTTCTTATTTTCCATTTCTTTCTTCTGAAGAAATCTCCTTAGAAGTAACCATGACGAAAATGGAACTTAAATGAAAACTTTCTACTCATGTAGGAGGAAGGCGTGGGACGGCCTTTCAAGTGCAAATTGGAGAAAAGTTGCCCATGATTTCACAACCGGGGCAGGGGAGAATTCCATCTTTTTATTTTTTATTTTTTTACAACCATTTACACGAAATCCACACCTTTCTTCCTATTGCAGATGGCAAGCCCTTCACAATGTAAAAACCCTAATTAGGCAAGGTATACAAACAGGTGGATTGGTTCATTCAGCATTAAGTTTTGATTGTTTTTGGGTGGGCGTGGAGATCATGAAAAGTTCAGATCCCAGATTTGAGGCCCCCCCCAAAAAAAATATTGGGGAATTTAAAACAATCTAATGAAGGAGCAATCAGAAACTGACAGATTACCATTTACATGAAATCCACACCTTTCTTCCTATTGCAGATGGCAAGCCCTTCACAATGTAAAAACCCTAATAGGCGAGGTATACAAACAGGTGGATTGGTTCATTCAGCATTAAGTTTTGATTGTTTTTGGGTGGGCGTGGAGATCATGAAAAGTTCAGATCCCAGATTTGAGGCCCCCCCCAAAAAAAATATTGGGGAATTTAAAACAATCTAATGAAGGAGCAATCAGAAACTGACAGATTTTTTTCCTCCCCCCTTGGCCTGTATATTGGGGTTTCACTGAAATGCGTTCACCCCCGAGGGAGTGGTGGATTTACACGTGGAGGGACGGAGACACGGCCCACCTGCCACAGAGTGTCAAATTTGGTGCCCTCTTCCACGGAGTACTTCCCGGCCTTATCCTGCCCGATCCGGTAGTGATAGACCGTCTTCCCGTAGATGAGCGACAAGGCGTAAGAACTTTTCTCCTGCCTTTGTCTCAGCCTGGGGAGGAAGGAACGGAGATCAGTCGGGGAAAGGCAGAAAAGTTACATCTGTGTCTTGCTTCTCTTTGGATCGGGGTGGGGTGTCGGTCCCTGTGCAAACTGACCGTCAGACTAGAAAGCAGCCAGAAGACAACATCCGCTCCGATTTTTAGTCCAAACGGCACAGGACGTGTCAAGGCTGCTGGGTCTTACACATGAATGTGGGAGCAGGGACAAGCGGATGGAAGAACTCCCCAGATAAATGGATTTTTTAAAAAATGCCCTCTGCCCAACTTACAAGAATTTCCCGTCTGGCTGGGATCCTGAGTAGAGTCTGCTCTCGGCTTGTTCCCGGGTAATGCAGCCGTGGTACCATGGCATCTTTTCATGGGCTGTGGTTGCCAGGAGCTTCTCGACCTGGGGAGCCTGGCTTATGATGGCCAACTCTAGCGACTCGCCCTACGCAGAAACAAGGAGAGAAAAGGACTGGGATTTTTAAGCTTCCGGGAACGATTTCAGTGAGATCTCAGGCAGGAGAAGGAGGAAGAGATCCACCCGCTTTCAACCCGTGTCTTTCTAAGCCTCCGTATTGTGCTGGAGACACCTCTCCTAGGCTTGGGTGGATTCCGGATTTGATTCCCCTGCCCTTCGGCCCTCCCAATAACAGGGACGGGGTCGAAGACAGAAACCTGCATCACGTCAACTGTGATTATAGAGTGCGATGGCTTTAAATAAGAGGTGGGTGTGAATCGGGAAAACGGTGATTTGTTTTGATTCATGATTTGTCAAGGTCGACAAATCGCAAATAACGAATTTATGAATTTTTCGGATGGATTGGTGAGTCAATTTGATTCTTTTTTTTTAATTTAAAATCCTATAAAATCTCCCCCCCCATCCTCTAGAGACACCAAAATCACAGAGAAACTTATATTGACTTTCCTCTACAATCCCTCTAAGTTTGGTGAATATTGGGTTTCGGACCCCCAATTTATACACCCGCAAATGGGGTTCCCCCCAGAAAAGTGCCCTTTGGCCACTAGCTTGGGGAAACCCAATCTTCACCAAACTTGGAGGGATTATAGAGAACAGTCAGGGGAAACTTTCTTGTGATTTTGGTGTATTTAGGTGCCTGGGGTGTGTGTTTTATGGCCCATCAAATCAACAAATCAAAAATTATTAAAAATTCCTTAATTTGCATTTGCATTGATTCATACGAATATGTATCGATGAATTAGTGGGTTTTTTTGAACAAATGTGGTGATTCGTTTTCTTAATTCACAACCATCTCTAATTTTAATGTTAAAATTAAGAAAATTTTTAAAAAGGGAGGGGGGGTGAGCACCCAGAATGTCATTCTTACCTCCAGTTTCCATGTCTGGCGTATGTATTCACGCACCATGTTGTCTCTGATGTTGTCAAAAATTCCCGGCTGGGGGTCCAACCCGTCGGGGCGATTGCAAGGTTTCCGTAAGGTGCAACAAAGCCCATCGGAATCCTTGGAGTAAAATTCACACAGTTCTTCCGGACCGCAGTGGGCTTTTCCCCCGGCAATGGCGAAGGTGCCGTTCATCTGGCGCTCGATGGGGTAGTGGTAGAACTGGAGTTTGTGGACGACGGAGAGGACGTAGCCCCCCAAGTTCCGAAGGCACTGGCGCAGCAGGAAGAGGCCATCCGGCATGCCAGCCAGCTTGAGGTGCTCCTCGGCATCCGAGCGGGAGATGCTTCCGTAGTAGAAAGGCAGGTGGCCTGCCGGGTTGGGCATTTTGGGGGGTGGTTTTGGTGGGCGATTTGTGAGAAATGTCTAAAGGATGGAAGAGAGAAGTACATAAACACCCAGAGCCACTTTTTTAAAGTAAAAGCCGGCCATTCGTTATTTGCAGTGACGTCGTGGGAGAGTAGTAGATCATCCCATCCGGCTTTGAGTCGGAACTTTAGAGCTTTCTCAGCTGTTTTGGACTTGGGTAAAATTGCACGGGTGGGTTCTGGGGGGAAAATCGAAAAGATTCCCCGAAAAAGTGGCAAAATTGGTTGGACCCGAGAGTAAAAGCCCGTCGCTGAGTTTCCTGACTGCTCTGTGCGGGTGATGGGCAACCTCAAGGTCCCTGATCTCTCCCCATAACTGTTCTTGATCTTTTGGTCTTGCACTGGGCAGGGATGATGGCCAATCTTTGGGTGTGAGTTCCAACTCCGCGTTCAAGTCTTTGGTACCGAGTCTGAGCCTTTGGTACTAAGCCCTGAGTTCGACTCTTTGGTACCAAGTGTTGAGTTTGAATCCGTATTAAAAAAACAAGCTTTTCCCTCAGAAAAAAGAAATGTAAAGACATCTGGGGAGGGTGGGAAAGGACAGCTCCTTGTCCTCCTCATGAGAAGAACCCCTTATGGTCTCCACCCTATAGCTGAGCCAGAAGGGGTAGAGGTTGCATCACCAACGGGTGGTGGCCTGCATGAAATCCAGCGGCTGAGATTTCTTGCACAGCCTTATAACTTGACAACGGTTCTCTGAACTTCAAACCCTTGAAGAACAGGAGCAGCTTCTTGGCTGCCCGGGCAGGAAGTTGTGACAGGAAGCCGGTGACGGCCGGGACTTCAAGAAGTGAGAAGACACAGCTTAGTCCTGATCAAAATTTTACTTTTAAAAATATATATAAATAAGTGGGAGTGTGAGGAAGAGTCTCAAATAAATCCAAAGAGTGGCCGGGACCTCAAGAAGTGAGAAGACGCAGCTGGGAAAACAGAGAAGAAGCCCCATTTCCCCAAAAATTACATGCTTGGTCCTGATCAAAATGTTACTTTTAAAACATACATAAATAAGTGGGAGTTTGAGGAAGAGTCTCAAATAAATCCAAAGAGCCCGCTAAAAATCCACATTTGCTTTTGGGGTGGGTGAAGACATTCCCCCAAATTCGAGGTGTTTTTGATCACAATTTTGCATGATCTCCATAATTATTTATTTTGGTCCCACCTTGCTCCTTCAAAAGGACCCAAGGGGCAGGGGCTTACCTCATTAAAAAGACAATGTTTAAAAGCCAAAAACTATGTGTACAAATATTTTAAAAGAATAGAACCGGTATTATATTAAAAGCAGGAAATAAAATTAACACTAAAACACACTTAAAACAACAGAGCACAGCGGGTCCATTAAAAAAAAATGCTCCCAGACTACCAGGAAAAGCCTTCCTGAAGAGAAAGGACAGCAAAGACAGGACTCTTAAAAAAAAACATGCTCTCAGACTATCAGGAAAAGCCTGCCTGAAGAGAAAGGACAGCAAAGACAGGACCAGTCTAGCCTCCAGTGGGAGGGAGTTCCAGAGTCTGGGAGCAGCCGCCGAGAAGGCCTCTCAAGGAACAAATGAACTCAGCTTCATTTAATGGAACGAAACAAATACGAGGATTCGGGGATTTTTAAAAACTCCGAATGTGACCAAAAGCAATTCTTGTGCATCTTCTGGTCCTTAGAAATCTATTTTATTCCCTTCTCCTCTTGATCTTTCTCTACACTAGGTCTGGTCTCTTTGATGGGAGAGGGTTACCTCTTTTTTTCAAAACCGTCCTGTTTTTCAAAACGGTCCTGTTTTCAGAGGACCACCCAAAAATGGCAGAAAGACCAAGAGGCAGGAAGAGAGAGATCGGAGCCTTGATTTTGCCTACACGCAGCTAGCCTAAGTTGGATCCGAAGTGGGAAAAGTTACTTTTCTTGGTTTAAAAAAAATCTGCAATTTGTAGTCTGAAAAATGCGAGACGTCTATGCTTTGCCACAGATTTGCCAAACGCCCATCATTCTGTTTCAAATTTTCTCCTCCAGAATCTAGGTTTTTTTTTATCTAAATGCACACAATTTTATGTAACTTCCTGTCCCTTTTTTCTCTGCTTCCCCCCCATGTGTATGTGATGCATATACTTTGGAGGTTTTGTATTTTTAGAAAAACAATACATAAGTGGCTTCTCGGAAATCAATGAGACTTATTGAGATTCCAATAAACGGAAAGGAGATGTTTGTGGTTGCTCATCACCCAGATGGGGCTGAAAGGGAAAAGGGGAGAAAAAGCTTTCAATATCAGACACAACTCTTGCTTTAAAAACAGGCCCCCGTTTCAGAGGTGTGAGTTCAGAACAACCACTATCCGAGCCCCCCCAGATAGTTCTCGGCTGTGGTCGGAAACTTCTCAGCATCCGCCTCGGTGTGGGCGAGAGGAACCGAGGAGGTGGCCTGGGGCCGTTCACTCTCTGGCAGCAGTGCTCGAATAAACACGACTGAAATGTGTGAAATCAGCAAGAAGGAGGGGAGCAAACGATTAGAAAGTGGGTGGGGGAGAATTTCAGGAAAATTCTTCGTTTGCCAAAAATGGGGGGGGGTTCTCAATTTCGGGGTTTTCTCTTTCAGGCCAAACCAAGTCTGTCCCAAAATTTGTGGTTCCCCAATGAGAACAAACAAATCTTAGGATCCTTACATTATTCTTGTTATTCATTGTTCTCAGACCCACGAAAGTTTGCGAAAATTCAAAACAAGATTCTGAGACGTCTCGCAAGACTTCTGATTTCTCTTCTTCTTAATACCGCTCTTGTTCTCAGTTATTAATTATCGTTACCCATGATCATTATCATGGCCTACATGACTCTCATTTTCACCCAGTATTTCTGAGCGACAGCCCCTGAGATCAGGATGGGAAAGCATTACTGCACACTGATAGCCCCAAACGTTTTCAGGGTGGACTTAAATTCTGTGTAGATTCAAACTTGGTTCTGGCAAATGGAATGCTCTTCTAATCCAACCATACCCAACTTTTTTTTCGGTCACAGCCCTAAACGCAATAGGAAAGAAACATTGGCCAAATCAGGATTATATAAGGCACACAATGACCCTTATAAGGTGATGGGTGAAGAATGGCTTGAGTTCAAATCCCGACTCAGCCATGGAAACCCGCTCGGAGGGCGATGGCCATGGTGGGACCCAACCTGGAACATCTCATCTACCTTCAAAAGCCTGATGAGGTCTTTCTAAATTCACAGCACAGAACCATAGCCCTTGCAGGGTTTGGGCGACAACGGCGGTGCCTTCTGAACCTTTGCCGGTGTTGGGTTCAAAACATAAAAATTCCAGAAATTGCGGGGTTTGGGCGACAGCGATGGTGCCTCCCGAACCTTTGCCGGTGTTGGGTTCAAAACATGGTCACCACCTCCTCTCCACCGCCCCCCACCACGCCATTACCTTTACCGGATTCGGAGAGCAAGGGGTTCTTAATTTTCCTTCAACATCTCTTCATTGGCAGGAGCAAATCCACGTTGGTGGTCGTGGCTTCCCGATCAAAGCCAACAGGGGTCGGTTTTGTAAAATAAAACGAGGGGCTGGGAGAGGAGCGTGGAAGACAGAGGTTCTCGCACTGGGGAAGTGACGTTCTGCCCCAAGAAGGTTGAACGAAGACGGCTTTTGAAGCTCCTGACCCGGTTTCCTCTCCTACGCAGGCAGCGACAACGCTGAAAGGTTGGACTCAAAGAGAGGCGAACCAGGTTTCTAAAGCTACGCTAAGGGTGGCAGGATCGTGAGCCGGAGGAAAGGTGGGTGTTGCCACCTTTTCCCCCAAAACAGGGCTTCTGTGCTTTCAGACAGCTGCGCCGACAGGCCGAAATCCAACAGGCCATGTGGTCCCTCTCTTTTCCACTCACCTCTGAACAGGGAGAAGTGCCCCTTGTCTTTTAGATGGAAGGCACCAAAAAAAACCCCAGGGGAAAACAAGGCAACGGTGCCTAAGAGCTACAGCTGCATCTCTGTGTTGCCCGGAAACCTTTCGAGCAGGCTTTGGAGACATCTTTACATTTCTTTGTCCAAAAAAAAGGAGGCCCTTTTTTTTTGGATCAAAATTGGTGGATCATCATCATCATCATCACCTTAGAATTGCAGAGCCAGAAGGGACCCTTTGGATGGCGTCCAGATGTATCTCTAAAATAACTTTTTCAGCACAGCTGGGAAGCATCACCTACATTTGAAAACCAAGTTGGGCTTCAGAATGGCAGTCAGTGAAAGGCACTCTGCACATGCTCGGAGGTTTTCAGGGACATGCGGGTCTGGTTTGGCCACTGGGCGTGATTTTTGTCGATGGGCTTTTTGTTGATTTTGGACCCCAAGCTTTCTGCCGGGTTTTGCACGGCTGTCCAAGCGCACCCTTTGTGATAGCCAAGGCTCGCTCCCGGGGGCCCGAAGCGGAGGAAAAATATGAGAAATATTTTTGTACATGAGAAGGGCTTGAGAGGAGCCAGATATCCCAAAAGCGGGGGAGTTATCTCCATTTTCGGCCACAAGAGGGCAGCGTAAAACTGAATTGCCAGCTCGTTCTAAAATGATGATAAAGATGATTTGAAAATACAAGACACAGTCTTTGTCTGGTGTTATATAACGGATACAAGTTTTAACCAAAAACATTATTATTGTTGTTGCTGTTATAAAACACCAGGCACAGTCAATCAAAATGATAAAAACATTGCCTATGATGATGATGATGATAGTGGTGATGATGTTGATTTTGCACGGATTCCCCCTGCCGCCTCGAGGCCAGTTCGGAGCTTCGGAACAAAACCCGGTGCATCCATTCATGCACTGGGCTCAAACTGATGTATGAACTCGGCCGGCCTTCTGCAGGAGAACCAACACCGTTGTAATTTCGGTTCGGTTCATCTTCATACTGATCTACACGAAATTTGGAAACCTGACAGAGCCTGAGGAAAGAGGGTTAAGCTTGTCAAATTTCAAACAGAACATTTTTTAGGGTTTCACAGGCCGGGGGGGGGTCTAACCAACGAGGAGTTTCTGCTCCATCTGGTTCGGTTGGAAGCCGACGCCACTGCAAGGGGTGCTCCAAATGCATGCAACCACAACATGTCCCATAATCCCCTAAAGCAGCGGGTCACACAGGTGTTCTTGAACCACAATGCCCATGAACCTTGGCCTGCCCAGCAAGTGCTGGCGGCTTCTGGGAAATCTCATCCAAGAACATCTGGGGTCTCAACATTCTAGACCGGTTGGTTGCCCACCTGGGGTCTCCAGATGTTTATGGACTACAACACCCATAAACCTTGGCCTGCCCAGCAAGTGCTGGCAGCTTCTTGGAATTCTCATCCAAGAACATCTGGGGTCTCAACATTCTAGACCGGTTGGTTGGGGTCTCCAGATGTTCATGGACTACAACACCCATAACCCTTGGCCAGCCCAGCAAGTGCTGGCAGCTTCTGGGAATTCTCATCCAAGAACATCTGGGGTCTCAACATTCTAGACCGGTTGGTTGGGGTCTCCAGATGTTCATGGACTACAACACCCATAACCCTTGGCCAGCCCAGCAAGTGCTGGCAGCTTCTGGGAATTCTCATCCAAGAACATCTGGGGTCTCAATGTTCTAGACTGGTTGGTTGCCCACCTGGGGTCTCCAGATGTTCATAGACTACAACACCCATAAACCTTGGCCTGCCCAGCAAGTGCTGGCGGCTTCTGGGAATTGTCATCCAAGAGAACATCAGGGGCCACACCCGTGGGATCTTTCCCATCATCCTCTGCAGCGTGGCTGGCGCACCTCCACTCCAGGCAAGTTTGGGACCTTGAGTTTTCGGAAGAGCCACTCGAGCGTTCGATCCCGGTGTGGCTTCCTTTTCAAAGGGTGGGGATGATGAGCCAGGACTTGGTCATCCTCTCGCGGTGGGGAGGGGGGGGGTTAGTCTGGGTTGGAAACAAAAGCCGGCCAGCGGGGGCCGGAGTCACGGTTCGCTCTCCCAGAGGGTGGACAGAGATGTGGTGGGTCATTCCTCGGATGTGCCGGCATGAAAGCCTTCAACAAAAGCCCGAGGATGGGTCGTGACCCTGATTTCATTTCTTTGGGGGATTTTCTGGTCCAAGAGAGCTCACCTTCCTGGAACGAGATTTTTTATTTTTCCCTTTGGCTCCCAGCCTCGCCATTCGAATTCGCCACCTCCTTTTCTTCGAGATTCCTTCGCAGGAAATGAACCCTCCCGCCTGTGGGTTTCCTTTGCTGGAATTCAACCCCTCCAACCCGGGGCGGGGGGTATTTTAAGGACGGAATTAAGACCCCCCCATTCCCAACCCCTCTTTCAAAGGCCGTAGATTTCAGAAGTATCTCAAATTTAATTTTCAGGAGAGTGCTGGATTTCTTTACGAGGTTCAGGGGTTCAGTACTGACCCAAAACATTTCAGCTTTGATACGGTGGGAGACACAAACCTTTAAAAAAAAAAACCCACAGAAACCAGAATCCAAAAATGCGTTTATTTTCATACCATACAGAGTTTTGAAGAATCGTCATGATTCGTGGAACGGGTAGATGACTAAAAACGAGGAAGAACGGACAGATCGATCAGAGGTTACCCTGCTTTGGGGCACTTTAGGAGAAGACACGAGGGAAAGACAACTGGGTGAGAAAAGTGCAATTCGGTAGTATGAGAGGAAGGCCAGACGTGAGATGGATGGACCCACTCACAGAAACCACAGCATTGCAGAAGAAGCCAAAGTCTCCGGCCTTATCCCAGCAATGGCCCTCATTTTAACGCTCCCGCGGCGATAATCTGCAACCTCGGCTAAATACCCGGCCGCTCTTCTCTCTCTGCGTCTCCACCCCCTCTTTCCCCCCATCTCTCTCCTTCCTTCCTTCCTTTCTGCACAGAGGTTCAGCAAACAGGCGACGGAGACTTGATCCTATAACAGAAAACACAGACCTGCCTTTTCGTGGCGTCACCGAAAGGGGAGGAGAGGGGGGGAAGGGTTGGTGAAAAAAGGAAAGAAAACACCAGTGTAACTCGGTGGTGGTGTTTTATTATATATATATTTTGAAATTTACGCTGGCGCAATTCCTTTGGGGTTTGTTTTGTGTGTTTGTCTTCAAGAAGCCTCTTGTGGGGGGCCTCTCTCTCTCTTTTTTTTGCCTTTCAGAAGCGAACGGCCAGTGTGTGCAACGAATCCGTTAATTCGTGTGCCACTCACATCCTTGCGAACAAATTTTTTTGTACATTTTGTTCTCTCCCCTCCCTCGCTCTGTCTGTCTGTCTTTCTGCCTCTCCCCCCCCCCTCTCTCTAGCAGTTCCCGAAGGAAATTCTTTCCCCAAGTTTGGACAAACTTTTCCTGAACCACAGGGAAGCGGATCCTGAGGGTTGCCAAGAGAAGAGGAAAGACCGCAGCGAAGGGGTAAGCAAAATTCTTTCTCTTCCTGCTCGAACCCCCCCTCCCTCCCCATCATCCTAAATGTGGAAGAGCTCCTTCTGAGAAACTTGCAACCGAAGGTTGGGTCTTTTCTTTCCTCAAACTTCAAAGCTAGCAAGGTCAAGAATGCGCTGTCAGTTTCAGCTTGGACGAGAGTCTGAGGGGATGATTTCTCTCTCTCCCCCCCCCCTGTCTCTGGAGGTCTCCTTTTTGGGAAGGTGCACTCCGCCACCCTCCCAAGACATGGGAAGGGGAGCACATTTTGGAGGAGGGGGGGTGCACGCCAGCGATGCTCGGCAGGCCTTCAGAAAATCCCACACGTAAGCAGGAGCATTATGGCCCCATGTTTTCATGGGCCTCAGCTGGCCTCCAACCATCTAGTCATTCCAGTATCCAAGATGATTCCTCTTTTCTTTCTTCCTTTCAATTTTTCCCTTCCCACTTCCCGGCAAATATTTCATGGCAACGGCTCTCCTCTCTCTCTCTCCGCGGCCGCTTCTTCACAGGCCCTGCGGAATGATACCCCCCCCCCATCTCTTTCGGCTGCCCCTCATAAAGTCAAACCCAACTGCCTGGTCTCCCGTTCTGGATACCAGGCATCTTGTTCTCCTCTCGGACGGCCTCCCACCCTCTTAACATGCACCCAAAGCCGGTCTNGGGCATCTTGTTCTCCTCTCGGACAGCCTCCCGCCCTCTTAACATGCACCCAAAGCCGGTCTCCTGGAATAAAAACTTAAAAGCTGGTCAGATTGCACCTCTAGCTTGCTGATTTTTTTTGGCACCAAAATGGAAGTCATATGCTCCCCGGATTACATCCTTAGAAGCCATTTCCCCCCTCCCAATCCATGGCCCCCCACCATCCCTCTGCAGAAAATGGTCTAAAAAATGAAATTACACCTCCCAGCTGGTTTAATTAATCCCTTGGAACACACCACTTTAATTATCTGAGCTGACCTTTCTTAGGGATGAAATGCCAGACTTTCATTATAGCCTGGCGGATGGGAAGTGTAAACAACGGGCCTTAACAAAGGAGAAGCTTCGTCAGGTTCACGGTGGGTTGGTGGTGGAAAAAGATTCTGCCCTCAGATGTGTGATGCTCCACTCTGGACTTTTAATCCGTTTCGGGCAAAACCTGAAGGATGGTCCCAGCTTGAATCAATGGGATGTACGTCAATGTTATATTCAATGGGATGAATGTGGGGTGGATGGCTGGGTGCAAACCAAAATGTCAGGAAAAGGAGACTCTGGTCGCTCCCCGTAGGAGAAATAACTAGAACTGACTTGTCTTAGTTTGCAAAATGAGACAAGTTGAACATCTACTGGTTGAACCAGTAGATCTTCAACCACAGAATCATGGAGCTGGACGGCCACTTCGCGGTCATCCAATCCACCCCACTGATGATGCAGGAGAACCAGAACCACAACTTCTTTTAGTAGGAGGCAACCCAACTTCTTATTCAAAGCCGCTTGTGGAGAGTCCGACACCGCCCGAAGCGCTCTGTCGCATGATCAGATCGCTCGTACCACCAGAAATGTCTTCCTAAGGTTGAGTCGCAATACAGCGGTTAATAAATATTGGTGTTATTGACCTTTGGAGAAATTAAAGTGTAGAACTAGCTGGAATTACAGGGGAAGAACTCAACCCAAAAACCCGCTACGGTAAGGTAGCAAAAGAGGAACCATCTCTCCCATGTTTGCTACAAATAAACGGGGAGCAAACCACTGAAAACTCCAGCTAGAAAGGGTGGGGAGACCACCAGGAAAGGTGGCAGAAAGGAGGGGAGGAACTTATATGGGAAAGCCAGGAATCTAAACTGGGAAGGAAGGAAGGAAGGAAGGAAGGAAGGAAGGAAGGAAGGAAGGAAGGAAAAGGAAGGAAGGAGCTGATGATGGATAGAAGGAAGGAAGCCTAATGAGAAACTTTGAAGGAGTTTTCTTCACTCCACTTGGGGCCTTCAGAAGAAAGGCCAAATATTAGCAGATCTGGGGCTTCCAGGCAGCAGCCATATGCTTTCAGGGACATGAAAGGCTGGAGCAAACAAGCTCCTTGTTATAGTTAAAGAGGTACCGTTCTTGGCACCGAAGCGAAGGCCTCGCCATCTGCTTCGTATTAGCATCTTCTCTCCGAGCATCTGGAGCCCGGCGGCTGAGACTCCTCCAGACCCAGTGGCCAAATTAGGAACAGTTGCCTTCTTCCCTCCCCACTCCTTTCCCCAATAAGCAGCATGATCCCCCCCTTCCTGCTATGTTTTGCTCCTTCTCTCCTATGCGCACACAACCCCCCCCCACACACACACACTTATTGTTCACCTCAAATGTTTCGCCCGATTTCCTCCCCTTGCCACGTGAAGCCTGGGGAGCCATTGTTCGGCAAAAAACCCGGTGGGGCGCGAGTTGGGGAGAGAAGGGGGCAGAAAGAAAAGCCGCTCCAAAACCTGGAAGGGAGACCAGGCCAATTATGAGACTTAAGCCCGGCAGTGAACCAGGCCTCCACTGGGAAGCGCTGGAACGGTGACAGAATTGAGCCTTCGGGTTGAAGAAAAAAATGCTGACTCCAGACAGATCCCTACTGGGCTGCATTCCTTCCCCTTTTAAAAAAAAAAATCCTTTTTTCCTCTCCTCCTGACATTCTTCCCCTGTTCGTGTTCTCGGTTTCGTCCGTTCAGTTCCTCCTCCACCACCACCCCCGTCTTCTCTTTCTGCTCAACCTTTGCTTTTTCTCCTCTCTCTCTCTCTCCAAAACCTCGTTTTTCTCCTCATTTCTGACCCAGAATGGGAATCAGAGAGGAGAGGGGCCCGTACGATCCGGAGCACGGCAGGTCCATAATTGGATGTGTAGAAGTTGCATGTTGTTGTTTTCCGAGGCAGGCCCGACTTCCTGTTTCAATACCGGGTTGGGGGGGGGTCCACATCAGGCTAGCCTCTTGCAGAAAACCCACCAAGACCTTTTTGGCCTCTTTCAAACTGCATATAATTATTGCACTCCAAGGCACTGCTGTTCTTTATTTATTTGCCTCTTTCTTTCATGGCCGGTTGTGTTTCTGCCCATCTTTCCTCCAAAGAGATTGAGGTAAGAGCTATAGAGCTTATCATCTCTTCCTGATTTTTGTTCTCACAACAATCCAGCAAGGTTGGACTGCTAGAGAGAGAGAGACAGAGAATAAGAGTGGGCCAATGTTGCCCAGGGAGGTTTCATGAAACCTGGGTTTCTAACCATCACACTATGTGACTATACCAGTTCTCTCTCTCTTTCTTCTCCTCCAGTTTCTTCCTTTTCCCTTTCTCCACTTCCCCTTTTTCCTCCTTTCCCTCCTCTCCACTCCTCTTCATCTCCTCCTCTCCAATCCCCCTCGTTTCCTCCTTTCACTCTTCTCCACTTCCCCTCGTTTCCTCCTTTCCCTTTTCAACACTCTCCCTTGTTTCCTCCTTTCCCTTTTCAACATTCCCCCTTGTTTCCTCCTTTCCCTCCTCTCCACTTCCTCTCGTTTCCTCCTTTCCCTTTTCATCATTCCCCCTCGTTTCCTCCTTTCCCTTTTCAACATTCCCCCTCGTTTCCTCCTTTCCCTTTTCTCCACTCTCCCTTGTTTCCTCCTTTCCCTTTTCAACATTCCCCCTCGTTTCCTCCTTTCCCTTTTCAACATTCCCCCTTCTTTCCTCCTTTCCCTCCTCTCCACTTCCCCTCGTTTCCTCCTTTCCCTTTTCAATGTCCCCCCTTGTTTCCTCCTTTCCCTCTCCAACATTCCCCTTCCAGTTTCCTATGATCTCTCTCCTCCATTCCTGCTCTTATCGCTGCCTTTCCTTTCTTTCTTTCTGACACAGCCATGCATCAGAGAGGCAGCACATGCTGAGCAACGCGGGCCGTTTTCAACGCACCACAACTCCTTGCCTGTGCCTGCTGCTTCGGAAAAAGCATCTGGCAGCCAAGGATGGCTGGCACGCCACTCGTGACCCCTCGCTTAGTATGAGTGGTCGCTCAGAGAAAGAAATGTGGGGTCAGATCCGATCCGCCTGGTCCAACGCTGCCCAGCCCGCAAAGATTCCTCCCACCCATGATGGCAACAGCCTGGAAACTTCTAACCTGGACCCTCATCTCCACCATGTCTGCGGGCAACCTTCCTGGCTACAGTTTCCAGTCACAAGGTAGAGTTTCTCGGTTGCTACAAGAAACGTCGCACCTCTTGGTTTCATCAACTCCAACAAGACCACTAAATCCTGTGCCGTCAGGTTTGCTACCTGGGAAGACGTGTCGCCCACGTGGGGAAAGTGTGCTGCTTTTTCCTCTTCCTTCCTTGCTCACTTTTCCTTTTGTGCTGTGCCTTTCCTCAATCATACACCACACTATTCATGCCTTGATAGCCCAGAAAAGGGGTAAAAGGAGAAATATGAAATAAAAGGTAATAAGAACAGCAAGGTGTTCGATAGCCTTAAATTCTAGGGGTCCACCTACCGATTTGGCCTTGCCCCACCCTCAAGAAGAGGAAAAATTTCAAGCAGTTGAATTCTGAAAGGACAAAGGGGCAAAATGAACTCTGCACACGGCCATAGTCACCCTTCTGTCTCTTCCTCCCCAATACAGAGGAGTTCCTCTCCAGCCTCGACCACTATGAAATTGCCTTTCCGGTCCAGGTGGACCAAAATGGGGACTTCGTCAGCTTCGATGTGAGAAGTCCACGCCAACGGCGGTCCCGGCGCCACGCCGGCCCACCGCTCTACGAACAGCCGGAGCAGCAGGTTTTCTACAAAGTCTCTGCCCACCGGACCCAATTCCTCCTGAACCTGACTTTGCACTCCAACCTCCTGGCCGAGCGCTTCCGGGTGGAGTACTGGAAACGAGGCGGGGTGGACCAGCACCACGAATTCCACGAGAACTGCCACTACGCCGGCCACTTGCAGGATAAGTTCCTCAGCTCAAAAGTAGCCATCAGCAACTGCAACGGACTGGTGAGTGTCTGGAGTTTTGTCCCTCTTTGGGGTTCAATGTCTGATGAACAAAACAGATATATACACCATATCCGCTGATTCACTTATCCACACACTGAAATATTAAAAGAAAAATCTCCCAAATATATATTTTTAAATGATGAAGTTACCAGAGCTGGCCACTAGAGGGTGGCAAAGGCCATGCGACGCATAGCATTCGCTATTCAAATAGCATTCCACATTTTTCAGCAAGTGGGATATGGGGGTTCTACCATACAATTTTATTTATACAATCAGCAAGGTATGTAATGACTGTTTCTGACTTCCCAATTATATGAAGCTGCTTGAACCTTTAAAGATCTGAGAATCACAATCGCGGGTCCATTTCATCTAAGCCGATGCTTGTTCAGCATCCCCTGCCAAGGACAGTTTTGTGAGAGGCAAAGCACCCCAAAAACGGCAGAACCGCATTGCCAGTGACAAAACTCCAATCCACCATAAATGAAGTATTTAAAGATAGCACTCGGCTGGCTTAAGGGAGTTGTTTTGGTCCTTTTCAGCCACTGGGAAAATAGAAACGCATCGAAACAAAGTTCAGTGTAACTCAATTTCAATTTGTCTGAGTGACATAACGCTGCGCTGCATCTGACATAGTGCTGAACTACATGAGCAGGTTATGTGCTTTACATGCGTGCCTCTGTTGTATAAAACTGGGGAGGGTGTTATATGGTAGGGGAGCAGCTCCCAGTGAATAATGAGGGGATCAAAACCATCATCCCCCCCCAAAGCCCACCCCTCAATGGCTCACCTCTCTGTATGAAAAGAGGAAAGAATTAGACACAACGCAGATGTCAGGAAGAAATTTTCTCACCAGACGGTGGAAGAAATTAGGCACAGAAAGTCTGCAGGCAAGTCCTGGTTTTTCTTTTTCTTCTTCTGGAGAGGAAACTTTCTGTTTGGAAAAAAAATATATAGGTTATGTAAACAGCTTTTGAGGACAGGCGAGGTGTGTATGATACTAACATATTTCTTCCTGAAAAAGCCTGGGAAATTAAAGCCTTTGAATATTTAGGCTACCTGAAAATTCAGGACCAGCATTGTTACAGAACTTTCAAGTTCTGAAAACCTCTCGTCATGGTTAGTTCCAAAACCTGCACCACCTGTTTAATCTTGGAGAAACAGGGCAGTGTACTGCTTGGAGAGAGAGCTTTGATTGAAGTCTCTCCCCTCCCTTCCAAACCATGAAATCTGCACAGATTTCTTTGGATTTAATATTTCCTTACTATTGTGACAATAAACAGTCTTTCACTTCTTAAAAGGGCCCTGCTTCTAATGATGTGTTAACTGTACTGTTTATCATGTAGCACCAGGTAGGTTTTAAAAAAAAAAAAAAAATTAGAACTGACCCATAAGCATCATGCCACCAATGATTAAGCAGAAATGCCCAATTTCCCTCCTTTTGAAAAAAAATTCAGCATGGCGTCATCATCTCCGAAGATGAGGAATATTTCATCGAACCACTGAATACCGAATTTAACACCAGTGATGGGCAGGAAAGCGAACGGACACCCCACGTGGTATACAAACGGTCGTCCCTCCAACACCCGCACATGGATGCCGCCTGTGGTGTGTTAGGTATGAGCGGGGCGGTAGCGCAGCCAACCCTTGGAGCCTAGATAAATTGCTTGAGACAGGAAGTTTCTAGTCCTCAAGCATTCCCAAACAGGTTTGAAATGGCTGGAGGGAGGGCTGGCGAAATCTTCAAACACATGTGTCCTGTAACTAGCAAAACGTGCCAAAGGAAGAAACGAGGACGCTTGCCACGCTAACCTCACCCTTTTTTCATCCGAAGTCACAACAGTGTTTATTGTTACAGAGGAAGAACCCCCCCCAACTGACAAGGCAGATGGGAGAGATTTTTTTCTCCGTGTGTGTCTATGATCAGCTATGGAAACTGGAGTCAGTTTTAAAAAAAAAACGTGGAACATGGGTTTTGTAGTGCCAGCTGAAACAAAAACAAAAAAACGAGAGGCTGGGAAACCAATTTTAAGCCACAACGTCTCAAGCCATCTTAAGGCAAGAAGTGAGGGGTCTTTTGATCTCATGAATGCTGGCTTGGGTTCCAAATTTCGGGGGGTGGCGAGAGATAGAGACAGCAATAATAACATTGCAACGCGAATTTTTTTTAAAAATTCAGTGTTCGCCAATTCTCAAATGGATTTCGGGGTTTTCACTTTGGGGCGAAAGAAAGTCCATGCCGTCTGTCCTCCGGAATTTGTGCTGCCCCCCCCCAAATGAGAATAAACATTTGTTAGGATCCTTATATTATTCTTGTTATTCATTATTCTCTGAAGAAGTGAGCTCAGACCCACGAACGTTTGCGAAAGTTAAAAACGAGATTCTTAGATGTCTCACAAGACTTCTGATTTCTCTTCTTCTTAATACTGCTCTTGTTTAATAATAATAATAATAATAATAATAATAATAATAATAATAATAATAATAATAATAATAATAATAATAATAATAATAATAATAATAATAATAATAATAATAATAATAATAAAAAATCATCTTTTCTTCTCAAAAGAAAAAACCAGCGACTTTGAGCAAAAGACCATTGACACAAAAAAACAAGGGAGACTTTGCTTTATGCACAACCGTTTCTAATTCCCCCCCCCCAGATGAGAAACCGTGGAAAGGGCGACCATGGTGGCTCCGGACACTGAAACCCTCCCCCGTCAAGACGCTGGGCAATGGCACGCAACGGGGCCAGCTGCCCCTCAAGCGGTCGGCGAGCGTCGAGCGTTACGTGGAGACCCTGGTGGTGGTGGACAAGATGATGGTGGGCTACCACGGCCGGAGGGACATCGAGCAGTACATCTTGGCCATCATGAATATTGTAAGTGTTATAAACATGGCGCTCGGGTTCATCTGCCCCTCCCCCCCCCACGTTTCCCATCTACGAGATTTTTGAGCAGGCCAAAAAAATGCCCTGGGAGACGACATTGGCAAGCCTGTTGAAATGCAAAAAACGTTCAGTGACACCGTTGTGTGCATGAAAGGAAGGCGGAGAAATGCACCAGAAGTGTGAGTCCGTATTAGGAAACTGTGTTTATAATTTCCATGAGGAAAAGAGGCAGAAATTCAACATGCAATTTCCCCTTCCTTCCTTCCTTCCTTCCTAGACAAAACATACCGTGTCTGTTGTAGATTACTGCAACATCAATGTCAGCCTCCTCTACTCTTCTCCTGGCCTCCCTCTCAGCTTGTCTTGCTAATTTATTTATTCATTCATTCATTCATTCATTCATTCATTCATTCATTCATTCATTCATATACCACCCATTACTGCCAGAGCAGTATTCTGGGTGGTTTCCAAAAAGAGAAGAGAAACCCAAACAGAAATAAACTGGAACCGCTGAAAACAATTTAGACAAATAACAAATGAGGCAGAGAGCCACCGTGGTGATTTTCCCATCATGGCAGGACAAGAGTCAACCAAGGTTGGTGCGGAAGGCCTTAAGCTAGGTTTTAAAGTTGCCTCCAGAACATCCGCATGGAGGGAGCCAGGCGTAGCTTCTCCGGAAGCCGCCACAAGGTTTGGTGCCACCACGAAGAAGGCCCTGCCTCTTGATGCCTTGCGGACCTTCCTCAGGAGACGATGGTCTGGGAAGTCATTGTTGTGCTAAAAACCGCTCCGTTGGGGATTCTTCCAGCTATCGTTTGTCTTACAAACAATATTCCATATTCTATCGCTTAATTTCCCCCCCCCCTCTCATTTTGAAAGGTTACCTCTTCCCCTCAAGACATTGAGTAGGACGCAGAATAATCTCCGTATTTCCAGGCAACCCTAACACTGCTGCCTCCATCTTGGTGTCTGGTTGTGTGTTGGCTTTTAATAACACTGGTCTTTCTTTGTTTTCTGGAGGTCAGGTTGCTAAACTTTTCCAGGACTCAAGTCTAGGAAATATTGTCAACATCCTCGTCACCCGCTTAATCTTGCTGACAGAAGACCAGGTAAGGATGGTTCCCTAGAAAGGCTTGGAAGCCACAGTTCCCGTGAAAATAACCAATTGTCTTCTGCACTGGCAACACAAATTCCATCCTTTGTTATGCTTTAGTGGCTTCGTCTACCCCCTACGAATGTCCACCAGTGTCCTACCAAGCTAACCAGTATGGTGGCTCCATCCCCCCCCCAAAAAAACCTCTTAAGGATTCAAGATGATAAAGCCATAAGTAGAAAGACTGAGGCTTCCCTTGCAAAATTGAAATATATAGTAAATAGCAGATTAAAGGACAAATTTCCCGTTTCCTTTTTCCTCTCCAGCCCCCTGGGCCCCCCGAAAAGCTTCTTCAGTCTATGGGGGACCTTCCTGATCCATGTTACCCCTGTGAAAGGTGGGATCGGGCTGTGGGGAGTCACAGACCCAGTTTTTTAGGAGAGCCACTAAGGGCCCACACCCAAGATAGATAAGAGCAGACCTTTGACGCCTTCTGAGCCTAAAATACAGGTGGCAGGGGAAGTGTGCTCCTTCAGATGTGGTGGAAGCGCCCAAAGAAGAAGGTTCTTCGAAGGGAAAGAGATCCGAGCTGTGGGGGCAAACACAGAGAAGGCCCTGTCACATGTTAACCGACCAGATAGGCGGGATATAAATAAAATAAATAAATAAATAAAATAAATGTCCCAACTCAACGGATATCAGGGTTGGTCAGGACAAACAATCCAACGCCTCTCCAGAAGATCTCACGGGGAGGGGGGGGAGGGAGAAAGGTTCTCCTTTTTACATAACATCCAAAGTGTGCCACTTCTTATCTTCTTTAGCCCACCCTGGAGATCAACCACCACGCCGGGAAATCGCTGGACAGTTTTTGCAAGTGGCAGAAGTCCATCGTGAACTGCAACGGCAATGGGAACACCATTCCGGACAATGGGATTGCTAACCACGACACCGCTGTTTTGATCACCAGGTAAGGGGAACGTTCCGAGGCCAAACTTTCCTGGCCTGGCTGTTTCCGCCCCCCCCGCCCCTCATTTTGCCTCCTGCTTTCCAAGATCCCCAGATGCTCCCTTGTCTTTCTTGACCAGCGCCTGGAAAGTCTTTTGGTGTGCGCGCGAATGGATAAATGCGATTTTCTTGCTCCGAGGATGGGAACGTCTGGTTTTTATATGCATGTTCCAAAAGAATGGAATGGCTTGTTTGCATCTTTTGGCACGAATCAGCTGGTCCTGGGGGCTGAGAAAACTTTCATTTTAGGAAGCCTCATTTCACCCCGTTGCCGATTTTTTCCGCCGCTCCGTAAAAGGCGGAAAAAAAGATTGTACCAGAATGATGTTGTTAAACATGGCCAGGCGAGCGCTCTTTCGCACTCGCCTCTCTCTGGGGAGACTGTTCTCCTTTCGCCTCCTCACGTTCCATACGTGCAGGACATGCTGGACGAGATGGTTTCCAGACTGGGGGGATGGATTACCCTCCGGCCTGACCATTGGAGCAACCCTGACCGAGCTTTCCCCCTCGGGTCCCGGAGACCTGCTTAAAAGAAAACTAAGCTTTTGGACAAACCACAGGGCCTGCGCCTCGTTAAACGTCCACCCAGCCTCCTCATAAATTCTTCTCCAGCTGCCTTGATAGCATCTGGATGTATGGCAGGATCTCTCTCTCTCTGTCTGTGTCTGTCTCCCTCCTCTGCCTTTTCCCTCAATCTCTTTGCTTCTCCATGTGCGTCTTTCTTCCCCCTCTGTTTTCTCTCTCCGCCTTTCCCTTTCCTGTTCTCTCTTCCTTTTTCTTTCCTTTTTAGACCTTTTTTATTTTTCCTATTTTCCTCGCTGTTTCCACGTCTTCTGTTTCTTGCCCTGTATCAACATTTCTTATCTCTGTCAATATAAATCTATCATCAGTTCCTTCCTACTTTCCATCAACTTCCTTCCATCAACTCCTTCCTTTTTCCCAACTCATTCCTTCCTTTCATCTAGCTATCCCTTCCTTCCTTCCTTCCTTCCTTCCTTCCTTCCTTCTTTCCTTCCTTCCTTCCTTC